ATACTGCATAGCCTCCAAGGAGAAACTTGGTTTCACCCTCTCCAAGACCTATTTGTTTTCTTAGTAGTCCATGGTATGTTCAAGACTCTTCTCCAGCACCACAACTCAAAGGCATCAATTCTTCTCTTATCATCCTTAGTCATTATCCAGCTCTCTGATGCATAGCAATTAACTGCAAAGACCATGGACTGGATCAGGCACACCTTAGTCTATAGACTGACATCATTGCTTCTCAGTACTCCGGAAAGGTCCCTGACAGCAGTTTTACAGAATGCAATTTGCCTTTTGATTCCCTAACTGCTGGTGCCAAGAGTATTAATTGTGGAGCTAAGCAAATGAAAGCTGTTAACAATCTTAATCTCTTCACCGCCTATTATGATGCTGCCAGTTGGCCCAATGGTAAGAATCTTTGTCTTCTTGATGTTGAGCTTCAAGCCATATTGAAGACTACAGTCGTTGACCTGCAGAAAGCGTTTCAGGTTTGCTTACTCAACATAAAAATTAATTTGCAGAGCTGACTAGAGAGAGTTCAAAGTAACATTACTCGTAACAGAAAGACTAGACCTCCACACTGTAACTTTCATCAGTGGGTTAACAGGTAGATAGTATAGATTACTATATTTGGGGTATGTTTGCAAAGGGACCAGTCCCTGGAGAAGGCTAGCTATTATCCTTGGTAAGGTTGAGGGTCAGTGAAAAGAAGATTCTCCACGAGATGAGGAGAAACACTGGCTGCACCAAGGGCTCAAACACAGTGGAGATTGTAAAGGTGAGGCAGGACCAGGCAGGATCCTGTCCGTGAGGTTGTTATGACTAGGAGCTGACTCAATGGCCATTAACAACAACCTCGCAGACTGCAAGGCGCCCTGGTAGCGCAAGGTAAGTGTTCAGCTTCTAACCAAGAGGTCAGCAGTTCAAACCCACTACCTGCCTCGCAGGAGAAAGCAGTTTGCTTCCATAAAAAAATTATAGCGTTTTCTCATAAATTATGTTTACTGCATTGAAGTCTATGAGGGAGAGAATAGTTTAAAAGTATTATATTTTAGGGCATTATGTTTATCATATGAGTACGGAATGAGGGTTGCAGAGTGGATTATATTTGGGGTGGGGGTGGGGGTGGGGGGTGTGCGGGAGGGATTGTGTACCAGTGAAGGAATTTTTCTTTTGCTTTTCAAGGAGAGGAGCGAACCAGGGGGGGGGTGGGGTGGGCGGCGAGAAAAGTGCAACAATGAATGAATGGAATTCCAAAATCTCTGTAGATGTTCATTGAAACAAACAAACAAAAATAACAAAAAATTATAGCTTTGGAAACTTTTTTTATTATTATTAAATTTTATTAGTTTTAATGAACAAGCTTTGGAAACTTTAAGAGGAAGTGCTTCTCTGTCCTATAGGGACGCTCTAAGTCAGGGATTGACAGCAGCCACAGAACTGAGGGTTGGGTTTTAATATACTATTAAGTATATTATCTTGCAATTGTGGAAATAAATGAGGCAAAGCTATCCTTATGAGTTGTAAGGAGTTACATTGCCAACTAAGAGACCTGCTTATTGGGAGAAAGAGGGGCAATCTCCTCTTGTGTGATTCATGTTGTTGTTAGGTGCTGTCAAGTCAAGTATGACTCATAACAACTCTATGAACAAAAGATCTGAACCGTTCTATCCTGTGCCATCCTCACACTTCCTGACACACAAGAGCCCATGGCTGTAGTCACCGCATCAGTCCACCTGGTCGAGTGTCTTCCTCTCATTCACTGACCCTCCACCCTTCCCAGCATCATATCTCTCTCCAAGGAACAGCATGTCCTAGCAACATGCCCAAAGAATGTGAGGAGAAGCCTCATCATTCTTGCCTCCAAAGAGCACTCCGGCTGCACCGTCTCCAGTACATATATGTTTGTTCTCTTGGCCATCTATGGGATGTTCAATTCTCTTCTGCAACACCACAACTCAAAAGCATCAATTCTTCTGTCATCCTTATTCATTGTTCAACTCTCAAAAGCGTAGCAAGTGATCAGCAAGACCATGACCTGAATCAGATGCACCTTAGTCCTCAAATTGACATCATTACTCATTAATAATTTAGAGTGGTCCCTAACTGCAGATTTTCCCAGTGCAATGTGTCTATTTCCTGACTGCTGGTACCAAGGATGTTAATTGTGGATCCAATCAAGATGAAGCTGTTGATAGTCTCAATCTCCTCTCCATCCATCATGATGCTGTCTATCAGTCCAGTGATAAGAATCTTTGTCTTCTTGACATTGAGATGCAATCCACTCCGAAGGCTGCATTCCTTGATCTTTGGCAACAAGTGCTTCAAGTCCTCCTCACTTTCAGTAACCAAGGTTGTCATCTCCATAACACAGGTTATTGATGAGTCTTCCTCCAAACCTGATGTCACACTCCTCTTCATAGAGTCCAGCTTCTCAATTTTCTCAGTATAGGTATGAAGAGAGAATATAATATTGATGCACTTCCTTTCTTAACTTTAAGCCCTGTAATTCATAGCCCCTGGAAACCTGCTGGAGGGTCAACCACGAGTCAGTTCTGATTCATGACATAACACTAAAGCCAACTGAATCACCTGTCACAAATACAAGTTATCACATTATGTACATTCTTCTACCAAGACATAATTTCATGTAAAATCTGTTGTCATTGTGTTATTTCAGACTCATGTTGTTAGGTGTCCTTTAGTCAACTACAACTCATGATATTTGTTGTTACCATCAAGTTAGAAGAACTAGCTTGGGGGTTGGTGTGTTGGAGTTAGTGAGACAGGGAAGGGGTCATAGCTTGCAGGTGACTCAATCGTATATAAAAACAATAACATATTGTTACAGGTTTGGAAGCAGGAGTGGCATCCACTTCCTAAATAACATGCCTCCAGAAACTCTATGAACTTTGATAAATGTTGATAGTCGTGGAGGATTTTCAGGCCTTTTGTTCATAGGGTCGTTATGAGTCATGCTTGATTGAAGGCAGTCAACACCACCACCACCACCATCAAGTTGAAAGCGACATGTAGCTGACCATCTAGCGGGTTTTCAGAGGCAATAGACTGCACAGGAGGAGATTGCCCATTTTTCTCCTGTTGGTGGATTTGAACCGTGTGCCTTTGGGATTGCAGCACAGCTTCTTCCCACCAGGCCCTAAAACTCCGAGATCTGAAGATCAGTAGGTCAAAACCTTCACCCATCCTGTACCATCTTCATGGTCTTCACCACGGTCAAGCTCACTGTTGCAGGAGGATCAGCTATGGGTGAGTTTTGACTTGATGATACACAACAAAACTACGTATTTGAGAATTGGACAAGAAAGAATTGATGCCTTTGAGTTATGACCGTCCCAGGGACGGCCAAAAGGACAAACAGCTATGTCTTGGAGAAGGTGCAGCCAGAGTGCACCTTAGAGGCGAGGATGACAAAGCTTCATCCCACATACTTTGGGCCTGTTGCTAAGAGAAGTTATTCCTTGGAGAAGGATGTCATCCTTGAGAAGATGGTCAGTGAAAAGAAAGGATGACCCTCAGTGAGATAGACTGACACAGCGACTATGGCAATGGGATCAAGTGTGTCCCGGATGATGAAGATGACACAGGATAGGACAGGTTCGGATCTGTTCTTCTTAGGGTCTCTGTGGGTCATAGTTGAAGTAGACTTGAAAGCATCTAAGAACAGCAAGCACTCTCAGCACTTTTCGAATCACTGTTATGCATTCAACTGGGTCCCTCAAATTTGTGCTGTAAATCCTTATAGACTTTACTTGGGTCCACAGTCAGCACCCATGGAGGCAGCAGTGGAGAAAGCAGAAGGCATGTTGCATTGGGCAGATCCACCAAGGACCTCTCCACAGTGCTGAAGGGCAAGGGTGTCAGTCAAAGGCTGCACCCTTTAATACGGATTACAGCTCAATATCAAGAAAATAAAAATGACCAACACATGGAGAAAAGATCAAAGTCATTAGTGATTTCCTTCTACTTGGGCCCACAGTCAACGTCCAGTTAAAAAAACAGCAGTTAAAAAAAATCAAAAGATATGTTGCGCTAGGAAAATCTGCTTAAGGTGCCAAAGAGCAATGATATTCATTTAAAGACTAAGCAGTGACTCAGTGTTAGGTGAAGCTCCCCGATTAAAACAAGCTTGGAAGTAGGAGTGGCATCCACTTCCATAATAGCTTGCCTCCAGAAACCCTATGAACCTGGAGAAAGGATGAAAGTCACACAAGTGTTGAGGACTTTTGTTCACAGGGTCGCTATGAATCACCTACAACTCGACGGCACTTAACAACAATAACATCAACATAGAGATCAGTCGGCCTAGTGGACCAAAAGTGATGCTACCAAGCCAAAGGTAGGTGACTCTAATCTGTGGTCAGGCCTGTTTTTTATTGTTTTTGTTCAAACATTCTTCTAGGTCATATAGCCCTGCTGTGTCCACTTGCCATACAGAGGTAACTTGTGGTTGCTAAGAAGCTGAACACTATGACACTGATGTGTCAAATGTGTTAATGGTTACCCACGGCAGAGAGTGTTTGTTTGAGCTCCCCGATTAAAACAAGCCTGGAAGCAGGAGTGGCATCCACTTCTGTAATGGCTTGCCTCTGGAAATCCTATGAATCTGGAGAAAGGATGAAAGCCACGCAGGTGATGAGGACTGTACTTCATAGGGTCGCTATGAGTTGCCTACGACGCGACGACACTTAACAACAATAACAACAAGCAGTGACTAGGCCAGGCCATGATATTTTCAGCTACTTCCTATGCATAATCTTCTCTATCACCTGCTACACATCAGAAAGTTGGACGATAAATAAGATGACCGAATTGATGCCTTTGAGCTGTGGTGTTGGGAGACAGCTAAATATCCCACAGAATTGGGGACTGCCAAAAGAACACACAGGTAAATCTTGGGGAATGTGGAGGTAAAGATGGCAAGGCTATTCCTTGGCAAGGGATATCATGCTTGGAAAGACAGAGGGTTAATGAGGGAGAGGACCTCCATGAGGAGTGACGTGGTGACTTCGGTAATGGGCTGTCAGGGATAATTAGGATGGCACAGGATAGAGCAGGGTTCAGGCTGGCTGTTCCTAGGGTCACTATGAGTCACTTGATGCAACAGCATCTAACAACCACCACCTACCTATGCACACAGAAGTCGGCTAAGGAACGAGTGTGATTGGGAGGGGGGGGAGGGAACGAACGGATGGACTGATGCCTTTGAAGTACAGTGATGGGGCAAGTGTTGAATATTCTATGGACTGCCAAGAGAAGAGACATGTTCGTCCCTGACGACGTGCAACCAGTGCTCCTTAGAGCCGAGATCGGTGACCTCTGTCTCACATACTCTGTGCCCTCTGTCAGAAGGCACAAGCCTTTCCAAAAGCCTCTGCCTTCCCCTAAGCAGAAGAGCCCTGTCCCCCACCTGAGTCCACACACGGAAAGGGGTGGCAGGGAGCATTGCTTTTGTGTACATTATACCTAATCCAATTTGTTGTTGTTGTTAAACAAAAAATCTTCTGCCTTAATACTTGTTCTTTAGTTTTTGCTTTCAACAGTCAGCCATTGGAGGCCCTACTTTTGGGGGGGCCCCTGCCCTTCTGCCCAACTCTAGAAATATGAAGGCTTTTGGTCTCCTTGGGGTGGCTGAGGTGTGGAGGCAGTCAGAGCTTTACCTGCACACTGACTTGAGACAGATGAATAAAAGTGCACACCTTAAAAACAAAGCCTAAAAAAACAAGAAGAAGGGGCCAGTCCATGGAGAAAGACATTATATTAAAAGTGGAGGGGCAGAGAAAGAGAGGACTGTACTCAGGAGACGGCTGGACTCAGTGGCTGGAACAAGAACCTGGGAATGGAGATCCTGGCCTGTCCCCCGCCTGCCCCAGATCCGCGTCTGCCCACCACCACCTGCACCCCAGCCACCTGTCCCCACATCCCACGCCTGACTCCCTCCTCCCACTTGCTCACTCTGTCTCCACCCCTGTGCCTGCCCCACCCCACACCTGTCCCCCCCAGTCCCATGCCTGGCCCCCGCGTCCCCCCTTGTCCACTCCCCGAGCTCCACGCCCTCCCCCCACGCCCCAGTCCTCCCCCCACCCGCGCTCTGTGGCTGTTGACCCGCCCAACTGCCGCCTCTGCACCCCAGGTTCCTGTGGTGGTGCCATGTGGCCGGCGCCCACACTACTCCTCCTGGGCCTGAGCCTGGGCCTGAGAAGCCCAGCGCCACCCTCGGATGTTCCTGGGACCCCGGACCCTGTCCCAGGGACGCCCCCCTCGCCGTCGGGGCATCCGCCCTTCGCACCCCGCCAGCTCGAGGCCGCCCCGGGCCTCAGGGCGCACTGGGGCCGGGCCCGCAGCCGCCTGCAGCCCCGCGCGCTACCGCCCGGAGGCCCG